AGTCAACGGTGATGCTAACCTCACCTACTCTTCTTCACCTCTCTCACCCCAACTTGTTCAGCCTCACTGTCTCTGGCTTCACCTCCCGATTCCTCCTCCAAGGTCTCTCTTGGACTTTACTACGAAACCCTTTGCCCCTACAGTGCCGACTTCATCATCAATTACTTGGTTCAGATCTTTGATACCGGCCTCATCTCCATCCTCGATCTCAACCTCGTTCCTTGGGGCAATGCCAGGATCCTCGCCAACAACACCTTCAATTGCCAGGTCCCTTCATTTTCTCTTCCCATCTTTGTTTTTAGGCTCACTGAATTACATGTATTTAGACTCTAAATTAACAACTGTTAGTTATGAGATTATCAATCGCTTTGGATTGACCTAGGTTTTAGAGGAGAATTGTATCAATTTTATAATTTAGCCAATTAATCCGAATCTCTCCATAATCGCCATTTTGTATCCCACCCACTGGATTCAATTGTCCCTATTCCAAACCCTAATTTTATATATTTTGTTACATTATTAATCTATCTTCCAAATTAACATGGCCTTAATGGACTATTAGTATTATTACTTGATAATCAATCGCATCAATGTACTACTAGCAAGTTAACAATCACCATCCCTCTCCATGAATAACATTATTTTTTTTGTGTGTACTATATGTTTGTGTGTGTGTGTTGTGGAGAATTGTGTTAGTGATATTGCTTGATTATTTGTAATGGTTGCAGCATGGCCCATTGGAATGCTTGCTCAACACTGTCGAGGCCTGTGCAATCAGTGTCTGGCCTGATCTGGTAAAGAACTTTTGTTGAGTTTATAAGGCATGAAATTATTTCTGTACTACTTAGTCTGTGGTAATGGGATTCCTGGTTGCATATTCTTTTTGGTGCTTTATGCCACTATATGTAAATTGCGCAGATCATTTCCAATGTTTCAACATTTTCATGGAAAAAAGAAAATTAGTTTTGCAAAAAAAAAAAAAAAAAAAAAAAAATTAGGAAACAAACATTCAAATATTGCAGTAATTTAAGAAAATTAACTAGTCAGAAAAACAAACTTAGTTTTAGTAGAGTTTAAGGAGGGTAAGATGATTGCAACTTTATCCCAATTTTTGGAGAGATTATTTTTGTTATTCGAATCCGCTCTACCAGGGATGCTAACGATAAACCTTATCATTCGGTTAAATTGCTCTTTTTAGTTCTTAATCTATTTTCATATCCAACTTTGTTAAATATTTTTCATCACTTTTTATGCATTATTGTAAATTGTAAAGTATTTTGTTATAGAATTCTTCTTCTTTACCTTCTTTTTTGATGAAATACAAAACTTTTACCATCGAGTTGTCTATTATATAATATTATATGTACATTTTACATAGAGTATTATATTTTTCACAATATCTTCACTTTTTTTTAATAGAATATATGCTCATTTTGTGTATACTTTTTAGAAAATATTTATTTAAATTAAATAATTATGTAATTTGTCTTTTTCGGTAGGATCTTACGATCCTCGATCCGATTCTACGATCCGATTCTATAAACACCTCCAACGATCCAACGTAGGATCCCGATTTTAACAACCTTGCTAGCAAGTTAACAATCACCATCCCTCTCCATGAATGATCACCCTGCTTGTTTCCACTTTTCAAAAAATATTTTTCAAAAAATTTTACTTTCTTATTTTCCGTGTTTTTTTTGTTTTTGCTGAATTTTTTTAATATTTTAAGCAATTTTTTTACTTTTTAGACACACTTAACATAAATACACCTAAAAAAGTACAAAAATTGTAAAAAAAATCTTTTAAAAATTCACTAAATACCAAAAATATAAAAAAAAATACAAGAATTTAGTACATTTTTTGTATTTTTATGTATTTATTAATTTTTAAAAATATTTTTTCACAAATTTTTTACTTTTAGATACATCTAAGTAAGGTGCATATAAAAAAGTAAAAAAAAAATGTTTATAATTTAAAAAATATTCACTAAAAACAAAAAAACACGAAAACCAAAAAAGTCAGTTTTCAAAAAACTTAATCGAGAAAATTCAAACCAAACATGTTTGTGTGTGTATACTATATGTTTGTGTGTGTAGAATTGTGTTAGTGATATTGCTTGATTTTTTGTAATGGTTGCAGCATGGCCCATTGGAATGCTTGCTCAACACTGTCGAGGCCTGTGCAATCAGTGTCTGGCCTGATCTGGTAAAGAACTTTTGTTGAGTTTATAAGGCATGAAATTATTTCTGTACTACTTAGTCTGTGGTAATGGGATTCCTGGTTGCATATTCTTTTTGGTGCTTTATGCCACTATATGTAAATTGCGCAGATCATTTCCAATGTTTCAACATTTTCATGGAAAAAAGAAAATTAGTTTTGCAAAAACTTTGATTGAATATGTAGATAAGTCATGTGTGTTTATCCACTTGCTATTAACAGAGTTAAGCTCTTTTGCAGAATAAGCACTTCCCTTTCATCTATTGTGTTGAAAGTCTGGTCTATGAGCACCAGTACACCCAGTGGGAAACATGTTTTGAAAAATTGGATTTGGACCCGACGCTCATTACTGAGTGCTATAGTAGTGGATATGGGAAAGAGGTGAGTTTTATTGGTTTGCATTTGGGTTTTATAATGTTCATAACAAGTACAGCCATTGTATGTAATATTATAATCTTATAAGAGATATGAGAATTTGATTTTTATTTTTTATTTTTTTCTGATTTCCCAATATTGAGCCAAGGCTGCTCAAATTGCAGCAGTTGTGTAGTGTCTATATTCTCACTGTTGAAATATATGCATAACTCTGTCAAGTAATTTCATATTTTTTGCCACTATGAACTGGGATGATTTCCTGTATAAGTAAGTAGCCTTCAGATGTCACTACATATACTTGGGTTGATCTCAAGTAAGGGCACAACCTTTCTTTATAAATGTTGTAAGCTATGCGCCTAGAATTGTTCACAATACTTCAAGACCTTTCATGGCCCTACTAGATACACCTTTGTCAAACTGTTTATGATGAGGGAGAATCTGAGATTGAGCTTTCAATTCTATTTTCTACCAGATTTTTTCTGCCCGCGAAGTTTTACCTACTGATTGAAATATTCCTTTCATGTATGTGTGTTTCTTTATGAATTTCTTTTAAGAAGCTACACCAAACCAACAACCATGCCTGAAGCTACATGCCACTGTCTAAGGCCTCGTTTGGGAACAGGCTAAGTAACTTTTTGGCTATTTGGCTAAAATATGAGCTAAAAAAAACTAGTATGTTTGGGATGATTTTTTGACTTTTTACGAAAAGATGTGCAAAAAGTAGAGAGAAGAGAATCTTTGACTTTTTGGTATGGGTTGTTGGCTTTTTGATTTTTTTAGTGACTTTTTGGCTTTTTGGCTAAACGGGTCGCTTCCCAAACGAGGCCTAATTATTCAAACATAGATTAGAAACTAGGTTAAGAGGTGGCATTTATGTCAACAAAGATTTTCGGTCTCTTGTATGAGCCTCTTTGTAATATGAAGATGAGAAAAGTTGTGTGGAGAACGAATTGGAAGGGCAACAAGAAATGTAGTGGATGTTTTAGAAAATGGATGAAAATCATAAAAAGATGATGTGTTATTATTATTATTTTTTTTCACACGAAATGATGCACATCAATCAATTCTGATGATATAGTGTTCTTGAAAATATCTAAAACCCATATTGGCCTTTGAACCAAAAAAATAACTCCACTCTTGATGTCCAGAGATTTTAATGGCATATGCCTTCCCTGTTGAAAAGGCTTTTGTCATTTTATCATACTGGGGCTACATATATATCACCTGAGGTACCTAGTTGAACTTTTTCTTTATCCCTTTAGATCAGATGACTTTCCTTTATTTGTGTTTCGGATGCTTTTTCACTATGTGTGAAACCTTTCTTCCATGAACATTTTATGGTTGATTAAGGGTTGTTTTGAGAATAGGATATTTGGGATGATTTTTTGAACATATTATGGTTGAACATTTTAGTATGTTTGGGATGATTTTTTGACTTTGTATGAAAAAATATGCAAAAAGTAGAGAAGGGTATAGTTCTTTAGTTTTTTGGGCTTTTTAGTGACTTTGACTTTTTGGCTAATGTAGGAGGTTCCCAAACTTAGCCTAAATTTATAATCTCTGTGCAGCTTGAACTACAATATGCAGCAGAAACAAATACTCTTCAACCTCCCCATGAATATGTGCCTTGGGTGGTTGTTGACGGAGTACCCCTCTACGAGGTTAGTTTCCTTTTGGCTTTATGCCGGTTAATTTCCAATGTTTCACAATTTCCTAGTGTTTGCTACTAAGCTGTGAATTATGGGGTTATATTTCTACACTGCAATACGTATGGTTTGCTCTAAATTCTTTAGCAATTGATGTTTTTAGTGCAAGTTCTTGAAGCTCAGATAATTGGTAGTGTAAGCTGGCAGTGACATGGGGTCTTGACAAATTGACATATTTCTCTTTTTGTAGGATTATGAAAACTTCATAAGCTATATCTGCAAAGGTTATAAAGGCACTGCTCTGCCCCAATCTTGCGTCGACTTAGCCCTCAATACTATTCCAAAGGACAAAGCAAGCCCTAGACATCCAGTCTGCTATAGAGAAGAAGCAACAAAGTCAAAACTATCAAAGATAAGATCAGCCATTAGATCATGGATTGACAAAGTTGATGTTGCAGTATCACTGTAGATGCCTTAAGGTTTGGTATACTTCTGGGTAAGTACTGTTGTCTATATTTCTGCTGTTTTACGAGTGTGGGGGATTACTAGATTTGGCTTGTTAATATTGGTATATCCCTAGTTTAATCACAGTAACGGTTCTTTATGTTGGTTCTGCTTTGTCTGTAGTTATTTCAGCTGTTGATTTAATAATAGTTATAGCTACCTAAGCACTTTATTACATACAGTACATTGTTGAGTGAATATCTTGTATTATGTAAATCAATACAGTTATTAGGCTTGTACATGTGTTTGCATCAGGTTAATAAAGCCTTAAATGTACAATTTTTCAGTATGGGAAGTTTTGTAGGTTTTGCCTAAGGAAAATGTTTTTTTTCTTTTTCTTTTTTTTTTTGAGCACAACCTAAGGAAAATGTTTTAGACCCCCAAAAATCTCTCACAATTCAACCCACAATATTGTGATTTGATAAGTTTCAATTTTTGATTGGTTAGATACTTAATGATATGGGAACTACCACTCTTGCCACATCACTGCGGATGCATTTGTAGATATAAAATGTGGGTCTCTAGCATTGTTGTTTGTCTAAAGGGTGACAACCCTTTCAAACCATACTTTAGAATTAGACTCTTTTTTTTTTACAAAATAATAATAATAAGAATAATAATAATAATAATAATAATAATAATAAAACACCACAGCAGTGCAGTATTTCTATTTTGTGGTATGAATGAAAAAGAGTTTTTTGAACTGAAATTTACTTTGTCCCCAGTTTCTTTCATATAAATACATGGGTTTGCTGACCAAGACGACCCAGATTGTGGGGTCTAAAATTTTTGGGCCTACCTAACGATGTGGCCCAGAATGTGATGTTATATAGCCTAGGCATCCGTCCTGAAAGGAGTTTGGTGTGCGAGTAGTTAAGAAGACTTGTACAAACAAATAAAATTTATAAATATAATTTGCAAATTGATGTGACATGTTATTAATTAAATGTCTAAAATAAAAAAAACAGTTGACGTGGCAAACATGATTGAGGTGCCACATCAGTTAACAAATAAAATTTGTAAAAAATTTGAGTATAGCATTTTTTAAGGAGACAGATTCAAAACCTGCTAAGCATAGCATGCTTGCTATTTTTCCAAAGGCCATGTTTGTTATCCCCATGAGTGGTAGGATTAGAGTGATAGTAATGTTAGATCTACGAAAACATATTTGGTTAAGGAAATTGATGAGTGGACTATTAGTCCAATCAGATTGATAATCCCCCTATATAATTGGATCAATAAAGTTGGAGAAGGTATGAGATTGAAAAAATAGTGAGGGATATAAATACTATTTTTTATTGGATTGATTACCAAAAAGTTCTATCTATATATTTGGTGGTAGTTTAGGTCATGTCAAAAAAATTTTGAACCATTAAGTCCCATTTATAGGTAAAAAGACGTTTTGTCCTTTAATCTCAAAAGTAAGAATGTTCTCAATTTTAAAACTGAGTATGTTCTCAATTTATAATTATCAAAACTAAGAAATTTTTCAATTTTTTTCTAGTATGAACTAAGAATATTATTAAAATTAAGAAATTTATAATTATCAATTTTGAGAAATTTCTCAATTTTTTTCATGATTAAAATTGAGAATATTATAAACTGAGAATGTTCTGATCAATGTTAAAAGTATCATCTTCTGATACACTTTCTGTAACAAATTCCAAATCCATTAAATCTTTATCCGCAAAGCGAACAATAGGATTTTTGAAACACTAATCAATGAAATGAAATAAAACCGATATCGAATTACTAAATTAAACATACAAAATTTTATCGAACCGAATTGTAATATGCTCGATTGTGTATATTGAATCTCACTGCTGTGAAATTCCTAGGGTTTTGAAGAAAATGGGGATTTGCAGATTAAAAGCGTGTTTGGATGTGATTATTAGCTTGAAATCAATAGTATATGGAGCTCTATATTTTTAGAGATGGTTGAGTAGAAGAGAGAGATTTACCAGAAGATTGAGAGAGAATGCGAGAAAGTGGGTCTGGGTTTGGAGGAACGTACCTGTGAGAGTGAGAGTGAGAGAGAGAGAGAGAGAGAATTGATCGAAAGAGAAAGGAAGAGAGGAATCGAAAAGCAGAGAGAGCGGGGTCTTGGAAGCATAAATTGGGCTATTAAAAATTAATGGAATTTGAAGGAGCAAATAATTTTATTTATGACTTAATGGATTATAAATTCATAAAATGGGACTTATATGTAAATGTCCCTTTTTTATTTTATTTTTTACCCAACTACAACATGTTATTTGTAATAAAAAAAAAAATTATATTTATTTTAGAAATTTTATTAATATAGAAATATAATTTTTTTAATTTTATATAAAAATAATTTGATAATCACATCATTAATCATCACTTCCATTATCATCAAAACAAATACACTTTACTTAATTCCCTCACTAACATTCTCCATATAAACAATCTCTTCACTAACCATCCCTTAACTAACAATCTCATCAAATCTAATTCTTCAAACAAACGTGGAGGGCCAAACTTGTCTTTCCTCCTTACTTTTGATTCTATTATAATTTATATGTCTTTAGAAAATAAAAAAATAAAAATCTATTATGTCAAGTTTTTTTTTTTCTTTTACAATTATAAGATGACTACAGAGGAGTTTTGAGTATTTATTAACTTACGAAATTGAGTTTAAAATGTTGATGATGAAAACTATGGTAGGAATAGAATGCAAGAAATACAGCCTCCGTTTGGGAAGTGGGTTGGCTTTTTGGCTTTTTGGCTTTTTTAGCTATTTTAGCCTGGGCTTAAAAGCTTGGTTTGGGAAGGGCTTTTTGGCTTTTTGGCTTTTTTGAGTTTTTTTGTGAGAGAAGAATGTAATGATTATGGGTTGGATGTGATGTTTTGTTTGTTATGGCTAAAATAGCCTATTTTGTCTTTTGTGGCTAAAATAGCCAAAAAAGCCCAAGAACCAACTTGCCAAACAGAGGCACAATTTGTTTAAAAATTATGATACCCACGCCAGAGATCCATTTATGAAACTATTAGGCTAATAAGTCAAAAATTAAATTTTTTTAGAGCAAAATGATATTATTTGTCCAAAAGAACGTGTTATCTATTCAAAAACTTAATTATATCTGTCTATCTGTTCAAATATTACATATTTGTACATATATCACATATGTATTCAATTATTTATTCAAATGTATATACATGTCAACTATCTACAAAACTCTAAATCTATTCAAATGTTCAAATATCTGTTTAACTCTATGCTATAATTTTTCGTTGTCGGCCATCACCAGCAACTTTTTTGAAACTTTTTATGTAATTTTTTAACTTTAATTAATCATTGGATCGCCTAATGTACCCTCAACTTGGATTTACTGGCAGTTCTTCCTAAAAATTAATCAATTAAAATTCAACCAATAAATGAATAAATAAATTCTAACATTATCACTTAGAATTTCTGTACAAAATTACCAACTCATTTTTATTTATTTATTTTTTACGGGAAAATGGGGTAAGAAAGGATGGGAGGGAGGTGTCCGAAAGGAGAATTATTAGTTGGTCTTGAGATACCGTCATATGGTATTTCAAAAGTGTTATGATTGATGGAGAGGATGAGACACACAAATTTATGTTAGATAATTAAAAAATATACAAAAAAATATGATAAATTATTATTGCTAAAGAATTATTTTGAATTATTATTGCTAAAGAATTATTTTGAAAAAATAATTAAAAATTATTTTTTTTTTAACTTATTTTAAAAACATATAAAAAATACAATCCAAAACAAATTTAAAATTAAAAAATAATTTTTAACCATCTTTTCTTTAAATAGTCTTAAAAAATATGACTACATAATCCCTCAGTACAAACCAATAATTTTTCGTAAAAAAGGGCAGTCCGTATCTGCCTTCAACTCTCCCCCACATATCTTGTCGGTGACCCTTCCGACATTTGGTCAATAAGGTTGCATTGCTCCGTATTTCTTTCTTCGATAATGAATAATGTTTATTATGATTATATTTTTATTATCATTTACTTATTTATTATGTAAGTTATCACAATAATATTAGAAATAAAGATAAATGACATAACTCACTAAACTAATATGTTGTTACATATAATTGAGTAATGATACATAATTTTAATACAAAAATTTTAAATAGAGATCTAGTGAAATGACAAGTCAAAAAACAGATAAAAAACACCAATAGAAAGTAATAATAAGTACACATGGACTAGTACCAAATAATTAGAGTTCCTTTAAAATTCTTATTTTAGAATTATTAAATTTTTTTTACATATAATTTGATAATTGAATCGAATATAATATTTTTAAATAAGACGGAACCACACTCAAGAGTTATATTTCTGTATTTAGATTCTATACACATAATTTTTTAATAAAAATATAATAATAATTATAGCAATATTTATTTATATTAATTAACAGTATGGGTGAGGGCCACCGACTGTTCTTTTATGCTGTGTTTGGTTGGGGGATTTGGGGAGAGATTTGGAAAGGGGAAGGGAAAAGGTGTGTGAAACTAGGTGAAATATAGGCATGTTTTATTCACATTTCACCTACCTTTTCTATTTTTTTTTCCAAATCTCTCCCCAAATCCCCCAACCAAACACAGTATTAATTTCCCCATTTATGGATTGCGTCTACAATTCCTTCAACAGCTTCTATTTGATTTTGCCATGGTACACAAGGCAACCCCAATTATTTAATTGTGAGTGTTACGATAATAATGTTAACATGGTTATATATATAATCATATTTTATTGTGTGCTTTAATTTGAAATTATAAATTTTACTCGCCTTCATATAATAAAATCTTGATAGAAAATTAAGATTAAAATAAATGAAAACAGTAGGAGACAAAATATAATAATTTTTAGTTGAGAAATATAAAATAATAAAAATTTATAATTAAATAAAGAAGGAGAAAGAAGAAAAAATCTTCTTCAATGTCCTTTTTTTTTTAAAAGAAATTTTTTTTACAAATCAGTGATATTATTTTAAAATAATTAAGATTCATAAAAAAAAATTATGACTTTAATTATTAAAATGTATAAAATTTATCATAAAATTATAATTATTTCTTAAGACTGACATTAATTTGTTATTTTCCTTATTTTCTATCTATGTTGGTAGAGGTGTGCGTGGTGCGATTTAGATTGTTTGAGAGTAAAATTATAAATCGAATAGCGGATTAATAGATTGGTGGATCGATAAATTGCAGTTTGGACAGTTTTTGGTGGATTGACGAATTGAAAAATATTCTAACCAATTATCAAACATTCACTAGAACAAAAAAGAGTTTTAGGAACCAAATGTTTTGGTCTCTAAAAGTGAAAATTTTGTTGTAAAAGTAAATTAGAAACCAATTTCTACCATCATGAGGATAGTCGCTAAAAGGTCATTCCGAAAAATAAAAAACAAGACTTTTAACAACAAAATTTTGAAAATGTCACTAATAAATAGACTTTTAGAGACAAAATAGTTTGATCTCAAAATAATTTATTTTTTGAGACAAAAAATTTGATCCCAACAATATAATAATTCATCACTAATGTCTAATTTCCATTGCTAAAAATATAATAACGACACTTTTCGCAATAAAAATATTTGGTCCCTAAAAAATAATTTTGTCTCTAAATTTTTGTCTCTAAAACTTTAATTTTTTGTAGTGATTTACATAATATATAATAATAATATGCATAATATTTTTCATATATATAACACAAACTAATTTTACATAATATTTTTCATATATATAATTATTAATTTGTAATAAATTTCACATCTTAAATTTTTTTTACACTCATTTTTACTTTGATATTTCATTAGAGGTTAAAAAAGAAAAATTTAGCTAAAACTTCTCCATTGGACTCTTATTTGGTGAAAAAGACAATCCAATTTATTTTACTTCATAAATCCTCTAACGAGAAAACACATAATTGAGTAAGGACAAAATAAAATATATTTTTTTTTTTCTTGAACAATATTGGTAGAGTAACATGTTACTGTGAGACAAAATAATATATTACTGTCAAACAGAATAACATGTTATTGCGAGATAAGATAACATATTACTGTCAAATAAAGTAACATGTTAGTTTTACTGTTTACATCAATTTTGATGATAATAATTTTTTTTTAAAGAATTTGATAGTCAACATGAATCTTATTCAATAGATCTTGATAAGAAAATTTTAAAAATATTAATTTTATTAAAAACTGACATATACATGAAAAATTATATTATTTTAAAGTTTAATATTTTGATGTACGGGGAGCAAATATTCCGGCGTGCCCGTATTCCTTTCTTCCGAGCTCCGTCGATGTCCGATCACCTGCGAGTCAATAAGGATGAGCTACCCGGCGGTGTGTGGCCGGAAAAACCCTCCGACGGTCAAGTTAGCACACACCTTAGAGGGAATAGAGAGAAGGGAGAGAGTGTTTGAGTGTAAGGATTTTCTTACACAGTGTTCGTCTGTCGCGTATGGGGGGCGCAGACAGGCTTATATACCTTCTGTGCCCCATATCCACTCCCTGTCATCTCCTGACACGTGGCTCTGCTATCCCATCTGTCAGCTTAAACCATGCCGTTCATCACCTGCTCTCAACTGCCTGCCAGCATAGCTGGAGCCCGGCAGCCGAGCTGCCCTACCTCGGTCATACCATGCTTCATACCTTAAGCGCCCGACCGGATAACCGAATGAAGGACTGGGCTAGGCGGCATCTCGGCAAAGCTTAACCCGGGATCCTCCTTTGGTCGGTCTTCTCTAACCACTAATCATTAAATGAAAATCTCCATTTCATCCATAAAATAGTGAGGATGTAAATCAGACCAAGATGGAAATTTAAATTTTTAAGCTGCCAATAAGAATTAAACCATTTTGCACATAATTATGACGTAAAGCTACAAATGAGTTGAGCCAAGCTTTACAGGACTCGAGTTTGTTTATTTACTTAATGAGCTGAGCCTTATTGAGCTAAGCTTGTGAATAGCTCAGTTTATTTGCAATCTTAATCATGAGTGTTGCCTTCAACTTTTTAAAATGAAAATCAAAATGTTTCAAAAAATAATAATAATAATAGTAATGTTGTGTTTGATTGGAAGATTTAAGGAAGGATTTGGAAAGAGAGAAGAAATGTGGGTGAAATTAGGTGAAATGTAAGTATATTTTAATCACATTTCACCTACCTTTTTCATTTCATTTTCCAAATCCCCAAACCAAATACAGCATTAAGGAT